AAATAAGTGTTCTGCTAAGGTAGCAGCATAAGTATCTTATATAGTAATGTTTTTTTATTAATTACTGTAAACTACTAGTTGCGCCTTGCATTTTTGTAATCTATAGTGCTTGTTAAGCTTGTAGGTGTACACTTACATATAATCTAGAATCTGCTATCTAGCTGCCTTAATTAGCTTTGTCTAGACCTCTGTCTAGAATTTTATTGTTTAATAACTATCTAGGTGTGTTCTTTCTACTGCCTTAAACATTTTATGTAAAGAGTGCTTCTCTAGTTACTTTTAAGTTAATAGTAGAAGTAGTAGCTAGCTTTTATAAGGTGTCTTCTTTTTAAATAGCATTCTTATTAATGCTGCTTTATTTAGTGTCTTACTGCTATGCTTTCTTACACTTTTAGATTTTATGCTAGCTATAAAGGCTGTAGCCTATAGTACAGTTTTTAACAACTTTATTTAGCTTAGCTTTAGTGCTGCTCTAGCTATTAACTGCATAAGCAATGCTGCAAGTAGCAGAGTATTTAGAGGAGATAGATAGTTATCTTTAATCTTTCTTTCTTAATAGTAGCTTAGTAGGTCTACTTTATTAAAATTTAATGTATTATTTATAGTGTTATCTTTATAAAATAGCTTTGTCTTTAGCTAATAACTAAGTGTTAGAAGCTTAATTATTCTAATATATATAGCAATTTCTTTTACTATGTTATATATAAAGTTATTTATTAGGTCTTTAAGCTTACTGCTAAAAATTAAGTGTTTATTAAAAATAACATTATGTGTATAGATTACTTTTGCTAGCAGTAGTATCTATACATAGTAGATATTTAATAATTAGTACCTAACTAGATATCTAATCTACACTTTTAAGTCTAGCCTCTGTAGCTTAGATTTATTTTAATGCATATTATTAGTTATTATAAATGCTTTACAGCTATAGGCTTTTAAATGTGTAAGGCTTAGCTTTTAAATTAATATAATAACTTTATTATTTAGAGCTACTTATGTAAAAAAGATCTTATATAGTGTCTTTTAGTTATTAGCATAGTTTAGCGTTTAATTATATAGGTATACGCCTGCTTTAGTAATGTATAGCTATACGCTCTATAGTAGGTTAGCATCTAGTTGTATAGCCTGTAACTTCTTCTTATTTACACTTTTTAAGCGTTTAGCTTCTCTGTTCTAGGCTTATGTATCTAGTGCTAAAGGCTTAACAGTTATTCTATATAATGCTAGCTAGTGTTTTACCTCTAGTTTTACTATTATAATTTTATTATTAGCTTTAATAACTTTTATAGTAATATTATAATAGTTTTTTAAAAAAAGAATAAAGATTATAAAAGCTTTAATAATTAATTTAATAAGCTTATTATCTTTAAAGTAGAGGTCCTACTAGAGGCTAGAATACTTATTAGTAATTAGCATTTAACTTTACTCTTTTATAATGCTTTATGCTTTATATGTATAGAAATTAATTAACAGTCTCTTGCTAGGTCTACTGTTACTAATTTATAGTGCGCAGCTAATTTATTATTATATCTTAGCTTTACTATATAAGTTATATTAAACTGTTATAATTCCTTTAATTTACACCTCTTTAGCTTACTATATAAGGTGTTAAAGTGTAGCTAGTCTAGGGTGTCCTAAACACTTATGCTATAGCTCTGCTAATGCCTTTTATAGACTATGTTTAGTTCTTGTGTTAATTATGTGTGTATAATATAAGCCTTTTTATAGTAGATAGTACTTTAACACCTATTAGCTATAAATTTTTATAAAATCTTTAATTATTATCCTATCTAAGGCCTTTAAAGCAGTTAGCTCTGCTTATGTGTCCTACTAGATTCCTTTTTGTTGCAGTAGGCAGAATAAGACTAGGTTGCACAGCAGGTCTAGGCACAGTGCAGTGTTATGTAGTATAAGACTATATGCTTAACTATGTGTTCTATGCTTACTTTTTAAGCTTAGTGTAATTAATCTATAGCCTTAAATCTATATGTAAGAGTTTTTAGACTAAATAAAGTCTTCTAGTGTTAGTAAATAATAGTTATAGATTTAATTAAAATTATTTATAATATAGCATATTAAGCTTAAGTTAAGAATAAATAATTCTTTTAGCAGATATTTATTTTAGTTTAAATTAACTATAGCTAGTAATGCAGCTGCCTTAACTTTTAATACTTTTTAGCTTTTAAGTTAGTTTTTTTATATCTCTAGTGTAGGTGTATATAAACTCTTTAAGATTAGTATCTTTAAATTATGTCTACGCTGCCCTTTTAGTAGGCCTTAAAATTCTAAGTTATGCTTATGCTTTAATGCTATAAGCTTTTTAACTCTTTTATTTAGCATCTACTAGTCTAGTGCTCTGTCTAGATAAACATAAAAGCAGTCCTTTAGTGCATAGATGTGTCTACATGTAGAATATTTAGTGCTTTTTATTTTAGTAAGTTTCTAGCTTAAAAATAACTTCTTATTATTTTTTTAATAATGTTAATATTAAGGTCTACTTTATTTTCTTAATGTTGCAACTTCTGCACTACAGGTGTTTTTATTTATGCCCTAAGTAGTCTTTTTACTTTTAGTAAAGTATAATAAGTTATTTATTATAAAGGCAGCTTTATGCTTTCTTATATGTATTAGATAATTTAATATTATATGTTTTTAAAAGCGCTTTATTATTTCTTTTTAATTTATATTTAGTGTAAACTATCTGCTTTTCTAAAAAGTTGTAGACTAATAAGAGGCAACTTTATTTATAGTAGTTAGAAAGTCCTTTGCTATAGCATTAAACTGCGTTGTTTCTAGAACATTTTGTGTCTCCGCTTCTGTAGCAGCGTAATCATACTCTGCTAGCTACAGGTCCTATATGCTTGCGTTTCTTAGCAGCTTTAGAGATGCATTATATTAGTTATGTACATGTTCTTGTTTAAATTAGTTGTTAACACTTACTGTAGCTTTAAAGTTTATAATCTACTATCTAAGTAGTTAATCTAGGGAACAGCATGTACACTGCAGATGCAGGCTAACTGTTAACTAGATAAAGACAATAATCTGTTAAAGGCTTAATTACTCTCTTTTATAATTATGTCTGTTACTCTTATACTTGTTAGCCTTAATCTTATAGTATTTAATAGCTTCTTTAAAGGCTCTAACACTGCTTGTTAATAGCTTGTTTATGTGTGTAGGCGTTTCAACGTTAGAGGCTGGTGAAAACTCAGCTATTAGCGGCATCTCTAGAGCTCTTGGTTTGGAGGTCATTTGGATGGTCAACTTAGGATCCACTTGCGGCCAGATGCCGTGCGCTACACATCTCGATTGCAGCTGCATCATCCAGGCTCTGTAGTCGGTGTGGTCTCGAAGGACGACTGTCGCGTCTCGAGGAGGCTGGGTGGCCATTTTGTATCGATGGAGGCACTAAGACTCTTAATTGTCAGATTAAAGCACTGTTTCTGGGCTTCCTGAGATGAATGATGGGTTTGGATATGATGTATGGGATGATTGATTGATT